AGCAGCAACAACAACAACAACAACAACAGCAGCAGCGGCAGCAACATCAGCGACAGCAGCAGCAGCAGCAGCAGCAGAAGTAATAGCTGCACTGCACTAGCAACAGTGGTGTCATGCGTTTTGTGATGACTCTCCTTCAGAGCCGAAATGCAGCATTTTTCGAGCACACACCTGCGATTCGGCTTGCTGCTGGAAGCTTACTGCCGAGGCTGTGGCGCCTATCTGAAGGAGCTCAACAAACAGGTAGAGGCTCTGGAGAAACTCACAAAACTTTCCCACTCACTCAAGGAACGAAAGGAAGACAGTCAAAAGGTTAGCAGCATTACTGTTCATAGTAGTGGTTTAGACGTGCGTGCGTGCGTGCGTGCCTGCGTGCGTGCGTGCGTGCTTGCGTGCGTGTATGTGTCGAGTAAAGTTGTGTACTCTATTCAGCCAATTCTTTGGCGGGGAGAAAAAAGCATTGTAAAAACATCATATTGTGTAGTTACACATGAAAGCATGCCTGGTTTATATCAGCAGGCATCAGAACCCACAAAAAAAATTCCTACGCAAAAGATCTCGCATTGGCAGTTACTGTAAAACATCCCTTTACTATATACAGTGAAACCCCGATTTTACGCGCCCCGATTTAATGCAAATTCGGATATAACGTGATGAATCGTTGGACCTTTTTTTGTCTTTCCGGAACTGAAGTTTTTTGGTGAGTTAAGCCGGCCTTAGGTCTAATCACGATTGCCTATAGATCGCGCAACTAAATGAGTTTACATGACTTGTTACTGTGTGCATGCTGTCTGCATGACTGTATGCATTGTTTCCTCACACTGATTTTCTTGAACCCCGATTTAGCGCGACCCCACGTTTTTCGTGATGACATTTTATGGACCTCAACGATCGTGTTATAACGGGGCCACACTGTACTTGGTTGCCTGCCTATTGCACTCACTTGACAGTGATGTTATACGCATATTTGTTGTTTATACAAACAGGCAATCAAGTACATGCTGGAACAGGTTGGCCAAGCTGACTATCTAGAGGCACTAAAAGACTTCTCATCACCTATAGACAACAGCTTCACCCTCGGAGAGCTGATGTGAGCAAATAATCTTTAGTGTTGCTGCTGTTGCACATCTTCACATAAACTTACATTCACATACTTATATGTAGATATATATATATATATTCACAAAGTTATGCTCTAAGTATGGTAAAGGGCCACATAACGACCCATAAAGAAATAATTTTCCTAGGTAATAATTAGGGCTAGTATATTATGTTAAAAAGAATAAAAAATAGACAGAGGCTCATGTTTTAAATATTAAAAATAAACTGTAATCATTCTGAGCTTCACCGTCATAAACATGTTCGTGGCTAGAGACATCTAGGGGTTATCCTTGCAATAATTTTGTCTTGATTTTGATTAATTTTTAATTTGATTTAATTTATATTTGTAATTTGGTTTTGATTAATTTTGTAGCATCGAGGAGTGTAAGATTCTTGGGTCAGCGAAGCGTCCTCTGTGGCTGGTTTGGAAAAACAAGGACTCGATGGCTGACAAGCTGCATCCGACAAACTCGATCATCTTCAAGAGTGGCGATGACCTTCGACAGGACATGTTGACCTTGCAGGTCATTCGCATCATGGACGACATATGGAAGAACGAGGGTTACGACCTCAGGTATCACGACCGTCTCGCATTGTACGATTATCTGCATGTGAAGTTGCTATTCAATGTGGCTCGATGATAAGGAATTTGCATACAGTAACATGCCACGTTACGTAGTTACGTAATTAATCCATTCCGGAAAAATTGTTTCATGTGAAGAAATGTTCAGTAAATATAATATACTTTGGTTAGCACAATTAATAACCTTGTTCTTAGGGTCGTACAACTTATCTGAATGCTACTGAAGACTACTAAAAATAATATGAAACTATTATTTTCACTCTCACAGTCTCACGGCTATTATTTCTTGATTTTCAATCTTTCCATCTCTGCTGTTATGTTTCGACTGATTTGATCTATGTACATAACATACATGGCCTGTGATTGATCATTATTTCCTTTTCATAAAGGATGATGCCCTATTGTTGCCTAGCAACGGGAAAGGAGGTGGGAATGATCCAGGTTGTACAGAATGCGGAGACAGTGTTCCATATCCAGAAGGGTGGTGGCAAGAAGGCCGCCTTTCAGGTGGACAGCTCCCAACTGCATCGCTGGATCAAGGAGAAGTCCCGCCTCAAGGCAGTTGGCCAGCATGCAGAGGAGAAGGCGTAAGTCTATGCTCTATGTTTGTAACTGCTGTATCATGTCCCGCGTGCTCTCTAGCATGCTATGTTCTAGTTCACCATCACCATGTTATAGTTTGCTGCAGAACACCATGCTATAGTGTGCTGCAGAACACCATGCTATAGCGTACTGTAGAACACCATGCTATAGCGTGCTGTAGCACGCCATGCTATAGTGTGCTGTAGCACACCATGCTATAGTGTGCTGTAGCACACCATGCTATAGTGTGCTGTAGCACACCATGCTATAGTGTGCTGTAGAACACCATGCTATAGTGTGCTGTAGCACACCATGCTATAGTGTGCTGTAGCACACCATGCTATAGTGTGCTGTAGCACACCATGCTATAGTGTGCTGTAGCACACTATGCTATAGTGTGCTGTAGAACACCATGCTATAGTGTGTTGTAGAACACCATGCTATAGTGTGCTGTAGA